ACAGTTTCAGTGGAGCCACTGGCTCCCCTCGACGTGGGTTCTGAGAGTCTGAGGGTGGTGGAACCAAGGGGTCCCGGAGGACCATTGCAAGGCTTCTACAGCCCATCTTCTGCTGCAGCCCCAGTCCCAGCCCCAGTTCCATCCCAGGCCCCAACCCCAGCAGAAGCTGAGCTGGTCCAGGTGAAAGTAGAAGCGATTGTGATTTCTGATGAGGAGCCCGATGTGTCGGAGACTCAGCCTCAGGGGCCTGAGGGATTGTTCCCACCTGGGGAGGCCATGTATGGTGCTCAGCCTCCCCAGCCAGAGGCTTTTGAGGAGCCAAGGGCAGCAGGATTGGAGGAGGTGGGGCCAAGTGACCAGTTTCTGCCCTCCGATCCTCACCTGCCCTACCATCTGCTGCCAGGTCCAGGGCAGTATCATCGAGGACTGGTGACCTCACCCCTGCCTGCACCCCCCGCCCTGCATGAGCCACTTTACCTGCCTTCTGATTACGAAGCAGCCCCAGGAAGCTTTGGCGTTTTTACTGAGGATGTTCCCACTTGCAAGACATGTGGGAAGACCTTCTCGTGCTCTTACACACTACGGCGCCACGCCACGGTGCACACACGGGAGCGGCCCTATGAGTGCCGCTACTGCCTGCGCAGCTACACGCAGTCAGGGGACCTGTACCGCCACATCCGCAAGGCTCACAACGAGGACCTGGCCAAACGCAGCAAACCCGATCCAGAGGCGAGCCCCCTCCTCGGAGTGCACCCCCTCCCTGGCTCCCCCACAGCAGACAGACAGAACTCTGGTGGAGGGCCGCCCAAAGATTTTGTACTTGGCCCCAAAAACTAACATCTGGGGGAGCTCGAGCTGATGCCAGGCCTGCTCTTGCGACACAGAAGGTGGGAAGCATCGCGTTTCCCCTGCCGGGTGACGGAATGGGTGCTGCCCGGGCTGACGGTCCCTCCCACCCTTTTCTTTACCCAGGCGGTTCCTCTCCAAGGGCGCTGGGAATTTTCCTGAGTGTAATCACTTCTCACTCTGCATTCTGGACCATAAAGCTAGCAGTGAAAGTATCTTATTGAACTGGTGTTGGCTGGTTTCTTCCACAAACCTGCATGACTCCTGCCGCTTTCAGCCCTCTAGATCAGCGGTTCTCAACCTGTGGGTCGCGACCCCTTTGGGGGTCAAACGACCCTTTCACAGGGGTCGCCTAAGACCATCGGAAAACACATATATAATTACATATTGTTTTGTGATTGATCACTGTGCTTTAATTATGTTCAATTTGTAACAGTGAAATTGAGGGTCACCACAACATGAGGAACTGTATTAAAGGCTCGCGGCATTAGGAAGGTTGAGAACCACTGCTCTAGACCTTTTAAGAAAATGACATCTGTCCTTGGGGGAGCGGTGAGGATCAGGTTGCTTATGAGAAGTGGCATAGGCACAGGGTAATGCAGACTTTATGTAGGAAAAGTATACACAGTAGGGAGTCTTACACAATCATGTTTGTTATTGTAGTGAGCTCCTGTGTGGTGGGCTGTATTAGGGACTTCATGTAAGTGCTCATTTAATCCTCAATATCTCTGTGAGGTATTAGCCCACCCCTTTTTTTCCCACGGACAAGGGAACTTGAAATTAACTTGTTCAAGGTCACAGAGCTGGTTAAAGGGCAAGCTGGAATTCGAACCATGGCCTGTGACTAAAAACACCAGGCTCACTATGCTGGCTTAAAATACTGTTGAAAATAGTTTCCTGAGAACTATGAGTTGTTTTCTTTTTTTTCTCCTTTTGACTGTTCGGCTTTGCGTCCTTACCCCTTCACCTCTGTCTCCACGTAGAAAGACCTTTGGTTGGCTGTTTCAACAACATGTGCTGTGTTGATGACCTGAAACTTTTGCTTACATGTCGTAAATATGAAAATAAGAAACGGAGAGGCAGACAGCACCAAGCCCTGTGGTATAGGTTTGTGGGGGGATGTTGAGGGCTTTTGGTGTGGAAACGATGGGTGGTTAGGAAAACTAAAGGAAGAAACTCCAGATGAGAGAATCATACTTAAAAAGTGTGATGACAGCCTAGAGGTGAAGTTACTCACGTACGGTCACAGGGTTATTGACAGTCGAGATAGCAGAGAAATGGGAGTTTTGGGTGTTGATGTAGGATGGGGGAAAGTTCTAGAAGTGTAAGAAGGGCCTGCCCCTGTGCTGCTGCAGGATGGACTAGAGGGCTCCCTACAAACCCTCCTCTGCAACATAGGCGGAACCGAGTGCAAGGAAAGCTGGAAGGTGAAACTATGAGTACATTTTCTGAACTTCTTTGATCTTTTTTGGATTTGTCTGTCATAATCAGCTACTATTTTTGAGTTTTGGGAAGGAGACCGAGCTAAGCATTGAAGACTGGCCACAGAAAGCTCCTTATCAGGGACATTATGGGAAACAAAAGTTGATGCTTAACATGTTCATGGGTGAAAAGAGTGAATTCTGCACCTTGCACTTTCCTTGTGTTGGAATAACCGTTTAGTTTCTTTCAAAAGGCTAACTTTATTCATGCGAATACATTACCGCCTGAACTCCTTGGTGAAACCAGGCTGGGTCCCCATACATGCATATAGTAAGAGCTGTTCTAGCTGAGCGGAGGGCCTTTTCCAGTCATTCCTGGAGTAAGTGAAGATGCCTAAAAAGAATCAGTTGCTTCTAAAAGGGTGAATTTTACGATATGTGAAATATATAAAAAGGAATCAGTTGCCTTAGAACATGGGTTCCTAAAAGCAAGATAGAGTAAATGTGTGCACATGTGTACATAATTGTATATAGTTTCTTTAGACGGCGTGAACGGTAACCATTGCTACTGTCTCCGCCACCCTGATACCCAACTACGGAGGGTCTGTTCCTTGGTGACATTCTCCTGAACAGCAAGCATTTGCTTCCACTTCCAAGCTTAGGATGCTTTTTTTTTTTTTCTTTTTTAACTTTTTGAAATTAAAATAGTTGACACACAATATTATGTTAGTTTTAGAGATGCATCCTTCTTTGGCGGTGGCAGTTAGGAATTTTCAAGATGTTTAGAGCAGCAGCCAACACAATTAAGGCCACAGTTGCCTCACTTTATCTATCTGCTGATGCTAGGATCAGCTTATGACAGTCAGTGGAGGTGTGCTCAAGAGAATTATCTTTAGTTTTCATGGCTTTTGATGGTCCATCCCATCCATGGATGGATTCATGGAACCACAGGTTGGCTCATCTAGACTCTAGTCTAGGGGTGGGCAAACTTTTTGACTCGAGGGCCACAATGGGTTCTTAAACTGGACCGGAGGGCCGGAACAAAAGCATGGATGGAGTGTTTGTGTAAACTAATATAAATTCAAAGTAAACATCATTACATAAAAGGGTACGGTCTTTTTTTTTTTTTTTTAGTTTTATTCATTTCAAACAGGCCAGATCCGGCCCGCGGGCCGTAGTTTGCCCACGGCTGGGCTAGTCCAACAGCGATCGTCCTGCCAGTTGTTAAACCTGTTTGGAAGATAAGTGTCCCCAAAAGAAACCTATTGGTATTGCTGGAGACCTCTAATTATTGGATAATACTTCCTTCTACTGAGCCCAAATCAATCTCCTTTTATGGGGGGTGGAGGGGTTGGAGGGACAGGCCAGGCCAGGCCCCAGCCTATTAAGAGTTTCACCCTGAGGAGTTATTTTGCGTTTGAGCTATAAACTGACTTCAGTTTCAGACACTGTTTTCTCTCCTGCTTTAAATATTCATCTCTAGTTTAGGATTGCCTGTCTTTTCTTAATTGGCTATTTTGTGCCTTCACTTAATGCTAATGTCTCTTCGGTTGCCAGACATATGGCCAAGCTCTGCTTCACAAAACTCACCAGTTCTGCCCACCTCACATTGGATTTTGGTGTTCCAACTTTTCCGGTTTGGCTCAGTGGATAGAGCGTCAGCCTGTGGACTAAAGGGTCCCAGGTTCGATTCTGGTCAAGTACATATGCCCTGGTTGCGGGCTCGATCCCCAGATCCCCAATGGGACGTCAGGAGGCAGCCAGCCGATCAATGATTCTTTCTCATCATGGATGTTTTTGTCTCTCCCTCTCCCTTCCTCTCTGAAATCAATTAAAATAATCATAATTTTTCCAAAGCTGATGCTTACAATATGGTTTACTTTGACATATACTTATTTATTATAAAACATTTTATTTATTTTTAACAAATGGTATGATGTGCTCTAAAGTTCCTTCCCAGTTGTATCAGTAAGCAATTTCAGCATGCACTTCTAAAAGAAATGTTGAAAAAAGAGACGAAATATATTATCATGCTCAACAAAACTGACAATAACTCTTGTTCAAATGTCCCTGTCTCATAAGCTTTTAGTGGTTTTTTTCAAATCAGAATCCCAAAGCAGAGTCACATTTATTTGGCTGACTTCTCTTAAGACTTTTACTCTATAGGTTCCCCTCTCTTTTCCTTGCAATTTACTATTAAGGAAACTGAGTTACTTGTCTTACGGTTTCACTTTAGAGTTTGCTATTTACATCCCAATATCATCTAACATGTCCCTCTGTCCAAAGGTTCCCTTAAAAATACATATTTAAATTACATCTATAAATAGTAATACAGATAGTATGTGGTTTTGGCAAAATTGTAAAGGGGCGGGTATGAGTTTGGAAAACACTATTCGTGACCGTCTCCTATGTGCCAGAGCATAAGCCGTCACCACCTCCATGAACGCTTCTCTTCCGTCAAGCCCTGAAATCCCAGGTGGAAACCTGCACAGATTGAAGGTGAGCATCCTCCTCCACAAACTCCTCAGGACAGAGGTGTGGTACCTCTGGGTGGGCCCTGCAGGTGTGGGCTTCCCAGCCCTCCTCCAGCCCCAATCAGACTGCCTGCCGGTGTCCCTTTCCTGTTCATTAACATCTCCACTAGGCGCTGGCCTTGGAAATGAAGACTGAAATGGGGGCCTGGTCACTTTGTCTCAGCGTTAATGAAAAGGTGAGTACAATCACTTTCCAAAATTCATTTTTAAATATCAGTTTTATTTTTTCCTCATTGATACAGAAGATAACTCACAGGAACATTGTCTTGAAAAACAAACCACAAACAAAATGAAATCAGAAAGCAAAAACAGCCCAAAACACACAAAACATGCAACCATGACAAAATTTTGTCAACAATCTAGATTTAGAAATGTAAGAGGCTTGGAAAAGGAATAAAAGATTCTACTTTTGTTAGTTCTATCCTTGGATTCATTAAGATTATTTTGGCCTGGCCGGTTTGGCTCAGTGGATAGAGCGTCAGCCTGTGGACTGAAGGGTCCCAGGTTCGATTTCGGTCAGGGGCATGTGCCTTGGTTGCGGGCACATCCCCAGTAGGAGGTGTGCAGAAGGCGGCTGATCAATGTTTCTCATCGATGTTTCTAGCTCTCTGTCCCTCTCCCTTCCTCTGTGTGAAAAATCAATAAAATATATTTTTAAAAAAAGATTATTTCGTAGAAGTTTGTGTTGTAAGCTGATGGTTGCAATATTGAAGGGAACAGGGAGACACGAAGAGGAGCTATTTTATTGGGAGATGGGGAGTGACTGATAAAGGGAGAAGAACTTAGGTACATCTGGCAAGACTAAGGTGTTTCTTTCTGCAGTCGGTGGCTATGTGATGACTGATGACACAGGCTAATTATCCGCTCCACTCACAAAAGCAGAGGCAGTGCTATTCGGTCTCCTCTACTCTGCAGAAAGAACTAGTGTGGACATTATTCACAAGTGAGTGGAAGGTGGATGGAGCCTCCTACTGAGCCATGGCTGCATCAGCTCCGCAGCCTGCGCTGGTGCCCGCACAGCTTCCAGAAGGTTTTGAAAACGGTACTTAAAAGGCACTAACTAAGGAAGGAGAACCCTTCCTCATGGTTTCCCTCCTCTGTAGGGGAACTGGGCTCTGGCTAAATACAAGGTGACAGGTAGAGAACAGATTTATGCTTTTATCCTGCTCGTTCATGGTACTGTTTCTAGACTTAGTAATCTGTCTTTCCTAAGTTTCAGAGAAACAAGCATACTATAGCAATGCACTTATTAAAAACTAACCTGCTTACTTGGGTGTTTTTGTAGCACGAGGGTGGAAGGATTATTAAATAAATACTTAAATGCTTGACTCCAGAGATCTTAAAATAGAAGAGTTTAATGGAAAATTAAATAAGTCTACTGTAATGATCTGAATACAAACAACAGCAATGACTAGAAATTACCCAAACAATAGGAACCAGATACTTTTGTAGGGGAAGAAGAATCCGAATATGTGTGGAATGTTAAAAATAAGGAATTAATTTAATTTGAAACCTTTCATTTTTTTTTTTTAAATATGGAACGCTTCACGAATTTGCGTGTCATCCTTGCGCAGGGGCCATGCTAATCTTCTCTGTATCGTTCCAATTTTAGTATATGTGCTGCCGAAGCGAGCACTGAAACCTTTCATTTTAAGACACGTGGGCCCAATTTGTAATTGTCTAGTTTCACAAAAGAAATATACTGCCCAGTTTCTGGCCTAAGTTTGGCTTTGGGCATCTGAGAAAACAAAGGAAGAAACTCCTCTTTGCCAGTCCTTCCTTCATCCTCTGCTAAACGTCTCCTCTGTGTATGAATACATCTGACAACATCCATCATTAGAATCTATGATTAATTCCACACACAGGTGATGAATATACTCTGGTTGTAATTCTCAGGGAAAATGTCCCCAAGAATACCATGTATTAAAAGCTATACAAATATATAGATGGACAGACAAAAAAGCAAAGGCAGACTGTGTAAGTTGTTCAGAGTCTGTGCAGGACTAGAAACAAGACAGACAGACACCTGGGTCAGAGGTGTGGGGCTCGTGTCTCCTGCGAGGCTCGGGTTCACTGGGTGAGACTTTCCCCGAAGTTCAAGCGGAGAAGCGTCATTCTTCTCTGTTAACCGAACATGCCCACGTAGAGCTGCTTCTCTTTCTGATGGTAGCTACTGAGTTCCGACTGTGTCAGCTGGAGGTACCGCCGGACATTGGCATCTTACAAGAGGGCGAAGAAGGCAATTAGAGACACACCATAATCTCACTTTAGGGTAGGAGGAGATTTGTTAACATGCTTCCATTTTTAAACATAATTCTAAGATCTGAAAATATTACTGTTCCATGTAGTAGTAAATCTCATTAACATCACTTTGGATTTTTTTAAAAAAATCTCGTACACATCTGGGCTGGTTGCTAATTTGATAATGACAGGGAGGTTGAAGAAAAAGTTATTGTCATAGCAGAGCCGCTAAAGATACTATACCTGGGTGGCAGTTAATCTATATACTTGAAGGTAAGAAACATGAACAAGTGGCTTATGTTTTATTTCTTTATTAATTCACAGTGGCCAGGGATCAAACCTGCAACTGAGGTATGTGACCCTTTGGTCTGAGGGCCAACACTAACCACTGAGAAAAACTGGCCAGGGCAGAAACAATGCCTTAAAATCTCTTCTACTGGGGGGACGAGGAGGGATGATATGTGTGTGCCCATTTAAGCATAGAGATTTCTGGAGGATATACATACAATATTGCTTTTCTGTGGAGACAAGAATGTAAGCGTAGAAGGCCTGTTCATTGTATACTTTCATAGTTTTTGAATTTCGAACCATGTGAATATATTATTATCTATTCAAAAATTTGAAAAAGTAAAATAAAACAAGCCCTAGCCAGCTTGGCTCAGTGGATGGAGCGTCAGCCTACAGACTGAAGGGTCCCAGGCTCGATTGTGGTCAAGGGCACATGCCCGGGTTGAGGGCTCGATTCCCAGTGGAGGGCGTGCAGGAGGCAGCTGATCAATGATTCTCTCTCATCATTGATGTTTCCATCTCTCTCTCCCTCTCCCTTTCTCTCTGAAATCAATAAAAACATATTAAAAACAAACAAGTAAAACAAAAACCCCTTCCACAGCTACCCCCTTAACAGGACAATTTTCTTTGTTCTCCCCACTCCATCCCCTTCTCGCTCACCTTTTGGCTGCTTGTTGACAGCAGCCAGGAGGTAGTGCCGAGCTTGGTCATAGTCCTGCAGGTGGAAAAAGGCTACTCCGGCCCGATACAAGGCCTTGGCATTATCAGGCTGTCGTTCCAGGACTTTCTGGCTGTATTCTTTCACTCGTTCGTAGTTGACTGGCTCCATCTGAAGGAGACAGGCTAATGCGGCCAAATGGAAGGAAGAGAGAAGAGGGAGAAGGGCCTTGTTATACTAAATTCCACTGGCCAACTCAAGGCAGCACCAAACACAGAATCACAACATTCACTTACCCAACAAATAAATGTAAGTGTCTGCCACGTGCCAGACCTTCCTCTGGGCAGGGGATGCAGCCGTGAATCAAGCTTTACACATCTTCAATCTACTTCAACATCTACCCAGTGCCCACTTTGTACCTAATATTGAGTTAGGCCCAGCTATAAAACGAATAAGACTATACTTTAAAATGTATTTAAACTTCTTTGTGTCTCTTCCACCCAAGGCTCTCTGTTTTGAGTCTCCATTTCACCACAGTTCTTGTCTGAGGCGATAGCAAGCACTGCTATGTGCTTGTCTAATCTTCTTACCCAATCTATGAAATTGGTATGTGTTACTCCCTCAGTTCAATGGATGAGGAAATCAAGGCTCAGAGAGGCTAAGTAACTGGTCAAGATGCCACAGCTTCTAGGTGGAATGAGGTGGAACTGGTACCAAGGACTCTCACCCCAAAATCATCATCTCTCTCAATGGTATTACTTTACTCGTCCCTTAGATGACTTGATGGCACCTCAAAATACAAGTCTGTTTAGGAGGCAACTGATCAGGTCAGTCTTCTGCCTTCTTATTAAGAAGGGAAATTTGCCGAAACCGGTTTGGCTCAGTGGATGGAGCGTCGGCCTGTGGACTGGGGGGTCCCGGGTTCGATTCCGGTCGGGGGCATGTGCCTGGGTTGCGGGCATATCCCCAGTGGGAGATGTGCAGGAGGCAGCTGATCGATGTTTCTCTCTCATCGATGTTTCTGGCTCTCTATCTCTCTCCCTTCCTCTCTGTAAAAAATCAATAAAATATATTAAAAAAAAAAAAAAAAAAAAAAAAAAAAAAAAAGAAGGGAAATTTTGCCCGGCCGGTGTGGCTCAGTGGATTGAGCGTTGTCCCATGCACCAAGAGGTCCGGGTTTCAGGCTTAATCCCCAGTAGGGGGTGTGCAGGAGGCAGCTGATTGATGTTTATATCTTCTCTCCCTTTCCCTTCCTCTCTCTCTAAAAAACCAATAAAAACAGCCCTACCCGGTTTGGCTCAGTTGAGAGGAATCTCAGCCCCTGGACTGAAAGGTCCCGGGTTTGAATCTCAAGGGCTGGCTCTCCCCCTCACTTCCAGTCTTTCTAAAAGAATCAATGGGAAAATATCCTCGGATGAGGATTAACAACAACAAAATAAAAAAATAAATAAAATAGCCCTAACTGGTTTGGCTCAGTGGATAGAGCGTCAGCCTGCGGACTGAAAGGTCCCAGGTTTGATTCCGGCCAAGGGCATGTACCTTGGTTGCGGGCACATCCCCAGTAGGAGGTGTGCAAGAGGCAGCTGATCGATGTTTCTCTCCCATCAATATTTCTAATTCTCTATCACTCTCCCTTCCTCTCTGTAAAAAATCAATAAAATATATTTAAAAAAAAAAAAAATAAAAAAAAATAATTTTTTTAAAAAATTGAAATGTTTCTCTATTTCATAAATGTTTCCCTATTAATTTCCTTAAATTTACCTCAAAGAATTGTGGGAATTAAACATAGTATTACATCACAGTGCTGAGAACCAAGAATTAGGGCTGATGAGAACATTAAAGGGCTGATGTTTGCATTCCTTCTCCAACACCCCCACCAAATGGTCATACTCGATCCCCAGTAAGGGGGGTGCAGGAGGCAGACGATCAGTGAGTCTCAGAATTTTTTTATTTTTCATTGATTTCAGAAAAGAAGGGAGATAGAAACATCAATGATGAGAATCATTGATTAGCTGTCTCCTGCACGCCCCCTACTGGGGAGGGTCAAACCTGCAACCCAGGCATGTGCCCTTGGCCAGAATGGAACCTGGGAACCTTTCAATCTGCAGACTCTATCCACTGAGCCAAACCCGCTAGGGCTCATCATTGATGTTTCTGTCTCTCTCTCCCTCTCGCTTCCTCTCTGAAATCAATAAAAATATATACTTTAAAAAAAAGAAAAAGAGCCCTGGCTGGCTTGGCTCGGTGGATGGAGCATCAGCCTGGGGATTGAAGGGTCCCAGGTTCAATACAGGTCAAGGGCACATGCCCGGATTGTGGGCTTGATTCCCAGTGGGGGGCGTGCAAGAGGCATCCAATCGATGATTATCTCGCATCATTGATGTTTCTATCTCTCTAACCCTCTCCCTTCCTCTCTGAAATCAATAAAAGATATTTAAAAAAAAAAAAAAAAGGAATTGCCTAGATTTAATTTTAGCTCTACCACTTACTAGCTGTTTGTTTCCTTAAATTTACCTCGGAGGGCATGTGACTCTTAACTAGGTTCGTATGTGTAAAGGGCTTAAGCCAGGGGTGGGCAAACTTTTTGACAATGGGTTCTTAAACTGGACCGGAGGGCCGGAACAAAAGCATGGATGGAGTGTTTGTGTGAACTAATATAAATTCAAAGTAAACATCGTTACATAAAAGGGTACGGTCTTTTTTTTTTTAGTTTTATTCATTTCAAACGGGCCGGATCCGGCCCGCGGGGGCCGTAGTTTGCCCACGGCTGGCTTAAACAGTGTCTGCCCAGGACATTTCGTAAATGTCACCTCAATGGACCCCCCCTCTTTAAAAGTGAACACTGGCATGCCTGTGGCACCCACTATCCCCATTTTCTGCTTTATTTATTTTCCACAGCACTTACCATTTTCTAAAAATTATGTTACTTTTTTGTTAATTGTCCATCTCCCTTACTCGAATACATGTTCAATGAGAGCAGGAGGCCTTGGCACCCAATAAATAATTGTTGAACTGAAACATTAACTACCTTAATTCCTATTTTTGTTCCCAAGAGTAGCACTGAACATGCACTGTAAAAAAAAAAAGCTAGATATTCACCAAATCATAGCTGATGAGTATTATAGTAAAAAAAAAAAATCACTTTTAAACAACCATTACAAAGTGTAAAAACTACTCCCAATAATTCCTATGGCCTCAACTTGGACTGTTAGAATATTTTAATATACATTAGAATAATTTAATTAGCTCCATGGTTAGTTTGCCTTCCACAGAACAGACCTAAAAAGTCTCCCTCTGCCCAGCCGGCATGGCTCAGTGGTTGAGCGTGGACTCAGGCACCAGGTTACTGTTCAATTCCTGGTCAGGGCACATGCCTGGGTTTCCCACTCGGTCCCCAGAGGGGACCTGCAGGAGGCAACGGATGTATAATTCTCTCTCATCATTGATGTTTCTATCTCTCTCTCCCTCTCCCTTCCTCTCTCAGAAATCAATAAAAACATGTGTTGTTGTTTTTAAAATGCCTTCCCTTCAATGTAAACTCGGTATTTTCTCCATTGCGTGCAGAATTTCCTAAATCTATCAGCATCACCAGAGACTCGGTTAGAACATGCAAACGAATAGTAGGCACCACCAGGGACCCATTAAATCCGAATCTCTGGGGGTGAGACTCAGGAGTTGTGTTTAACAAACCCTCCAGGTGATGTTTGAGAACTACTGCTCTGCAGAACCTCAATTAGAGCCCTATAAATTGGGGGGGAAAGTATATATGTATATATTTGATAAAGGATTTTAAACTTTTATTTACATATTTTAGAAAGCAACGGGGGGAGAGAGAGAGGGGCGGGGGGGATGGATTTGTTGTCCACTTATTTATGCATTATTGGTTATATTGGTTACTTCTTGTAGGTGCCCTGTCCTGGCATGAACCTGCCACCTTGGCTTATCAGGACCACGCCCTAACAAACCGAGCTACCCGGCCAGGGGACAGATATTTCAATTCTTGGCAGAATAACTAGATGGCCGCAGGAAAGCCCGTCAGTGTGTTTTCTCAATGTTCACAGACTTGGGGGTACCTGCCTGGTTCCCCTACCCCGCCCCCCCTTCGGCCCTGTTCTTACCAGCCAGATTGTTGTAGCAGTCTGTCTGGGTGGTGTGCAGCATGCTTTCCTGAACGGGTGTGAGAGCCGGGCCCTCGGGTCCCAGGTCGGGTATCGGGGAGGGCAGACTGGGATCCAGACCCCGCAGCTGAAGCAGAGCGCGATGGTACCGACTCACAGCATCTCGGTACTTCCCCTCCCGGTAGCGCTGGTTCCCTTCCTCCTTGTACAGCTGAGCCTCCTGCAGGCGCTTGTCCATGACTCCGCCGCCCAGGGGTCTTGCGGAACTGGGAAGCGAGAGGGCAACTGAAGCTCTGCGGGTGGGAGCAAAATTACTGCTTTGGGAGCCGAGTGCAGGCAGGAAACGGCCCTTCTCCAGGGACGAGCTCTGCTGGTTTCTGCTACAGCGCCCCCCCCCCCCGCCCCCCGTCTCCTCTGAGGTACTCCCGACCTCTAGTAGAGCAGGAAACGAGTCAGTGAGAGGATGTGGGGACAGTAAAGCCAGAGAGTAAGTGCTTGCTCCGGAGTCAGGAGACCCCGAAAACGCAAAGGGCTCGCTAGGAACTGTGGCAGGCGTGCGAACGCCGGCGGAATTTGCTTCCTCCTTTCTTGGGGACACACCTCCCTGACCTGGAAGTGGAAGAAAGTAGGCGGGGACACCACTGCTCAGAGAAGTTTAAAGGACTTGCCTCCGTCCCGGCTCTTTATTCGCACGTATATTCAAGGAGCATTCGTTGATGACGGTGCCCGGAGCTGGGAAACCCAGGCGAATGTGGCCCGAGCCCCGCGGCCACCCCTTGCCCTCTGCAAGGGCCCTAGCCCGGAAGTCTGCCCCTGGGTTTCCGATTACGGGTGGGAGCAGCCAGAGGACAGGGTCCGGTCCCTTACAGTTTGTTGTCTAAAGGGTCGCGCGCATCGCATCACGCCGCCCAATCAGGAGCGGCCCCAGAAAAGTAATCCCGCAGAAACGACCCCGCCTTTCCAGCTTCCTCTGCGGACCAACGGGGGAGGGGGAGGGGGGAGGGGGAGGGGGAGAGCCCGTGGCAGCTTCGCCAATTGGAAACATTCGGACTACCACGGATGACCAATCAAAATTGCAGATGAAGATTCAAGTTGGCCAATAGCCTAGCTACAAGGCGAGGTTCGGTCATCTGTTGCTAGGTAGAAATTAAGGGTTGGGGCGGAGCAAGAGGTTACTGTATTTCTTGGTTTTGGAGAGCCCTTTGGTTTACTAGTCAGAAAGACGATTACTAGGAGGCTTTCACGTTGCAACAACTTCCCTTCTGGCTTTTATTTTTAAATGCGAAGAAGCTGCTGCCTGCTTAGACAGGAAAAGCGCCCGGTGAGCAAGCCCCAAGACGAAAGCGCGACTGGAAGTCAGACCGAGCGAAGGTGGTGGCGGGGTGGGAGGGGCGTGCGGCAGGGGAGGGAGGTCCGGGCGGCTGCGCGATTCCCCGCTGGAAGTACGGAAAGAAGGGCGCGCACACGCCTCCATGCTACGAGGCACTTGAGCGGCAGCCAGTCTCGCCCGTCTCCGGCTCCCGTGCGGCTGCGCAGCGGAACGCCGGCGGCGATTGGCCAGTACGTGAGAGGGGGCGGGAGGCCAAGGGAGGGAAGTCCGTCGTCCTCGGCGCGCGCCCGCCGCGGCTGGTAACAGAGGGAAGAGGCTGCAGGCCGGGAAATAGTTCCCCGCTCCGTTGTTTCGGGCTCCCGGGGCTGCGAAGGGGAGGGGAGCCGAAAGGAGAACCGTCGCAGAGTCTGCGCGCGGCCCTCGCCGCCTGCGTGCGTCCGTGCGTGCGCTCGCTCGCGCGGGCTCAGTGCTGGCGCGTGAAGCGGAGGCGGGCGGCGGCGGCGCCTGCGCGGTCGTGCTCGGTCGTCGGTTCGCAGGGGAGGAGGCAGCGGGAGGCGGAGGAGGCGGCGGCGGCAATGGAGGTGAAGCGGCTGAAAGTGACCGAGCTGCGGTCGGAGCTGCAGCGGCGGGGCCTGGACTCGCGCGGCCTCAAGGTGGATCTGGCGCAGCGGCTGCAGGAGGCGCTGGACGCCGAGATGCTCGAGGACGAGGCCGGTGGTGGCGGGGCCGTGCCCGGCGGGGCCTGCAAGGCGGAGCCTCGGCCTGTGGCCGCGTCGGGCGGCGGCCCGGGCGGGGACGAAGAGGAGGACGAAGAGGAGGAGGAGGACGAGGAGGCGCTGCTTGAGGACGAGGACGAAGAGCCACCTCCGGCCCAGGCCTCGGACCAGGCCTCGCAGCCGCCGCCGGAGCCCCCGGAGGAGGCAGCCGTGGAGGCCGCGGCCGAGGCCGAGGCCGAGCCTGAGCCCGAGCTCGAGGCCGAGCCCGAGCCCGAGCCCGATGCTTCCGAGAAGCCGGCTGAGGAGGCCGCGGCCGAGTCAGGTGGCGTCAATGGTGGCGAAGAGCAGGGCACCGGCAAAGGGGAAGAAGAGGAGCCGGAGGAGCGCAGCGGGGACGAGACGCCGGGATCCGAGGCGCCGGGTGACAAGGCCGCAGAGGAACAGGGTGAGGTGCTGGCAGCGGAGCGCGGCTCCGACCTGCCGGGTGCGCCCTCGTCCCAGGCGCCCAGCCTTGCACCCCGGGGTCCGATCCCTTGTTCTCACTGCCTGAAGTGCAAGGTTCCCTTCGCCGTTGGGTGGGATTCCCCAGGGGAGGTGGCTTTTATTCCCCCCGCACCTTTCTGGGGGGGTTGGCCGCCTCGGGTGGCCCCGCTCTGCAGGAGGGAGGTTCCTGCCTAACTGGGTGGGTTGGTGGTGGTGGATGGACGTGAGCGGTGCTGCGTGCGGATGGCTCGCGAGCTACCTGTGGAGCAGCCCCCACGGCGCTGGTTACCGTGTCCTAACCCGAGAATGCACGGAGCGTGGGTAGCCCCACGGACAGCCAGACCGACCGACTGTTGGGGGCTTTGGCCTTTGGGCTGGCTGCTGGCTTTTTCGCCATAAAAATATGAAGCAGTAACTAAATTCGTCAGCGGTCGATCCATCAGACAGACGCACAGTGGGACGGCTTGAGCCACGCAGAATCTGGCGATCTACCCTTGCTCCTGCGCAGGCAGCAGCAGGGCACAGCCAGTGGGGTGACGGCGTCGAGTTTAATAGTTAACTAGCGAAGAGAGGTCTTGTCCAGTGCATTGAGAATGATAAGTCAGTTAACTGGCGGGGGCTTTTCCCTGGCCTGTATTATGATGAAAATGCCATCTTCCCACTGAGTGGAAGGGCGGGCATATCTGTAAATTGGGTGCACACTTAGCCTTTTACGTTTCAGGCCCCTGATGAACTGAATTGAAATGCTTGAGGTGGTGGTGGATCCATCAAGCAACCCTGGGGAAGAGCATGTGTAAAGTTGCCCCCGGGAGTTAGTCACCTGCCTTCCTTTGAAGTAATTGGATGGTTAAGCTGACCCATAACTATCTGTCAGAGTGAGGAGGACAACTAGAGCCGCCTCTAAGTCTTACTGTGAAGCGGGTTGCCGCCTTAGTGCCTGTCTTAATACATTGTTTGGGTTGCTACTTAGTATCGTGGTATTAATTGGAACCCATTCTACAATAATCACGTGCAACTTGAAGATTGTTTGCCTACGTCCTGGAACAACAATCCCATTACATAACCTTTGACATAATGTGTACCCCAAATAGCAGATAAAAGAGGTTGAGGAAGAGGTGGAGGGAGGTGAAGAGGGCATAGAGGGGATAAATGGCGATGGGGAACAATAAAATAAAAAAGGTTAAAGAATAAAGGACTGCCTTAAATTATTATTTAAAAACCTTTGTATTGAAAACTACAGAGGCCGAAGGAAAAACTCCTGAGTTGTTTTTTTCCTCTAATAAAGAATGTTGCTAAATATCTGATAGCGCCTTTCTGCCCCCAAATTATGTGCAGTGATGATGCAGAATTAAAAGATGTGCCTCTTGTGAATGAATGGTTTTGCTCTCGCAACTTTCAGTAAAAATCCATTATAAAAATACAGCTCTGTGTCACGCACCTGTATCCACTTGCTATATAAGTAAATCCGTGGATGGCTGTGCATTTTAAAGCTGGAAAGGCAAACCCCTTGTTTTTCTAAATTGAGGCTTCTATATCATGAAGCTGTGGGAAAGTGTTGGAAAATAAAGTTTGTGTCTAGCTTAAATCCAAATCTGACTATCAAGAATCAAAATTAAATTAACCAATGAAGTTTTTTTTATGTCATACTGTTAGGGAAAGCTGCAAGTTTGACCCGATTTAATCAGATAAATTTAGAATGCAAAAATTGTCCAATTTTTGTCTACTGCTTGACTGTAATTAGTCCATAGTGTACTTTAAAAACATAAATACAATTTCAGCCAATGTAGGAAGATGATCTTTGGAAATAAAACGTTCTGTGGATGCAGTGGGATTAACTTGGCTATTCTGATGAAACAGATACTCAGATCCCCCTTTAGTATCTGTTGGTTCTGAGCTTATTCTACACTCCAATATGAAAACTGCTGATTTTCTTTCCCTCCTTTTTGTAGGAGATGACCAAGATAGTGAAAAGTCAAAACCAGCAGGCTCAGATGGTGAGCGGCGGGGGGTAAAGAGACAGCGGGATGAGAAGGATGAACATGGCCGAGCTTACTATGAATTCCGAGAGGAGGCTTACCACAGCCGGTGAGGGAAACAGTCCCTTCCTTGGAGGGAGTGTCTGCGCTGATCTTGGTGTACCTGGTTGATTGGAGAGTCTGGAAAGGGGTGGAGTAAAAATGGAATAGGTTTTATAGGCATAAGTTTTAGATGGAATCTACTCTGAAAGCTCCTGTTGCCCTTTTCTCGTTTACTGAAAGCAGCTGTCTGCTGGAATTTATATTCGCTATAGTTTAAAACAGACAATATCCTGCAGACACCTCGCTAAGCGAGGGCTTTGGTTACATTGTATCTGCTTTTGTCTTACTTGTGTAGCTCAAAGTCTCCACCACCCCCTGAAGAAGAGGCAAAAGAGGAGGAGGAAGATCAAACTCTTGTGAACCTGGACACGTGTATGTATAAGGCAGACAGTTTGGGGTTTTAACCAATCAGAAGTGATTTTGGAGATTAAAATTTCATGGCCTGCAAATTTTAAGAGATTTAGCATATGAGAGATTTTGTATCCATTCTTGATAACTGAGTATACTTGTGTGCTATTGGTGGCACATAAGTATTAATGGATTGCTTCTTTCTTAACAGATACCTCTGATCTCCATTTTCAAGTGAGCAAAGACGGCTATGGAGGGCAGCCACTTTTCTCAGAGAAGTTCCCTACCCTGTGGTCTGGGGCAAGGAGTACTTACGGAGTGACAAAGGGGAAAGTCTGCTTTGAGGCCAAGGTAGTATGTACAGCTCATTAAGACGGTTCATTTATTAAATTATTGATTAAACTACTATGTACTGGACTCCTGCCCACCAGTATTTCATTAGTGCAGAAAAAGGTACTACACACTTCAATGATAGCCTTAGCTCCAGTAATCAAGAAATTGTCTCTTCCCAGGGCTTTGGTTTAAGTTCATTGGCAGTTATTATTCTGATGCTAAGTTATGATAGCTGTCATTTTCAGTTTGTATAAAAATCTTGTCTTGCTCTGGCCTTGTTCTCAGTTGGTTGGAGTGTTACCTTGTACACAAGGGTTGTAGGTTTGATTTCTAGTCAGGGCACATACCTAGGTTGACTCCTGGTCAGAGTACATATGGGAGGTGACTGACTGATGTTTCTCTCTCTTTCCCTTCCTCTCTCTCTAAACTCAATAAAAACATATCTTTGGGTGAGGATTAAAGAAATAAATATCTTGTTTTTTAAGAAACTTTGCTTCTGAGTTGGCCTGAGTATCTGAGAGGTTTTTTTCTGACCTGGCCAGGTAACCCAGAATCTCCCAATGAAAGAAGGCTGCACAGAGGTTTCTCTCCTTCGAGTCGGATGGTCTGTTGATTTTTCCCACCCACAGCTTGGTAACGTTACTTTAACTTCATCATTCATGTTTGCTACCATATTGCTTACTCATGGGAAG